AGATTCCCAAGATTCCCAAGGTGGTTTCTCCCATGGTGGCCGGGTTCTCTGTTCTCTTTAGAGCAGAAAAACCATCACCGCGCCGCATCACCACACCGCATCTGGGCGCATCTGGGCTGTCCCACAGGTTGCTCATGCGTTGAAGCCGTGGTTCGAGCAACGTGGTCTTGCTGTCCTGCCCGGTGCATCGCCGCTCGGTGGAGTCAACGATTGGCTGCATCCCCCGCAAGGAGCATCGATGATTGGGCGAGTCATGCCCAGCGCAGAGCAAGGCAAGGGAATGAAGATTCACCTCCCCTGGTCCTCACAAAGACCAAGAAAACTCCTTTCCATCGGCCATCTTGATTATCTTTTGATCTTGGACCCCAGGCGGGCCCACCAACAGAAACCATCATGGAGTCCACTCACATTCTAGCCACCCTGGCCGTGCAGTCCAGCTGTCGGCAGTGCATGGTGAACCAAGTAGTGACTTCTTCGTCAATACCTGCGCGATGTGGGGCGGTCGGCGGCGACAGGAACCAAGGTTTGCCCATGTTTGCCAGCATCAGGGTCTACTTTGCGACGCGACCACCTCCATCCCATCCACCGTCACCTCCATGTTGGCCTCTTGGCGCATCACAAAGAATTGACGCGTGGCATTCTAAGCCATCTCACGCCAGACGACCGGCCAACGCAGCGGGCTTCCTGACCACCCCCCCCATGAACATCACGTTCGATCTCCGCCCAACCAGCGCAGAGCGCAGCGACCCGGGCGCGACCCGGGCCACTGGTGCCTTGCTTCATCTCAGCTACCTCCAACTTGTAGCCGCTAATCAGCTCCTTTAAGCTGGAAGCCTGGCTCCACACAAAAAGCACGAGGGAAGCGCCCCCAGACCCCAAGGCGTGTGCGTGACAGCGCGCGAAAAAGGAACGTGCTGTAAACTGAGAGCACGGTGTGCACGGGTTTCCTCGTGCGTGTCAATGAGTCAAGTGTGAGATCACATGAGTGCATGTCTGTTGGCCAATCTTGATCTAGAATCTAGACATGAAGACATTAATCAAACGTTAAGCAATAGCCATTTCAGAGGTATGGGAAATTGTCGGTCAGTTCAAGCCACTCCAAGGCGCACGCACCGCACCTGCTCTTCAAGAGTCTCTAAGAGCTTCTCCATCTCTAAGGACTTCATGCTCCTTAACCGGAAGACGCCGCTCTTTCAGCTCTCAAAGCCGCTCTCGCATGTCAGGAAGCTTTTGAGGTGTCCGGGAGAGTGGTCCGAAATCCATCCGTGTTGCCTAGCGAGGGAGGCGCACTGGAGGCAGCCATGGTCTCGTCTCGTCTGGAGTCTTCCATGGGTTTTTGGCATGTTTGCCTCGTGCTTTCCCAATTTTACCAAGGTCGGATCTGTCTACTTTTTGGTGCCCCCGCGGTCCCCGATTCCGAAAACATCAACAGCTGAGTTGCTTGGTATCAAAGAGCGGCTTGATGGCTTCTTCCAGCTCCACCACCTGGCGGTCACTGCTCTCGACCGGGCCATTCAACCCACCGCGTGCGCACGCGAGGTCTGCGAGCGTCGCCTTCTCGTCCACGGAGGTGTACTTCGTTTCCGCCTCGGCCACCTGAACAGCAACGCGCTTTCCCGCAGAGTGATGGATCGAGGTGCTGGCTGAGAGGTGCTGGGATCATGGAGGAGCAGTAGATGGCACGAGGTCCAAACACATCCATCGCAAGGGTGAAAGAAACATGGAGATGCCTTGGTGATGTTCACTGACCACTTGAGATGTCATCGATCCTTGAGCACTCTGAAGCCCAGTGTCAGTCTACGTTACTTCACTTTTCCTTGGGGAAGGAATGGCTCTGCCACAGGTTGTGATCCGTACTCGTCCGTCTTGAGTCTTGACCCACGAGCTTCTGCATAAAGAAACAAACTCATCTGGCCGTGCCTTCTGTTGAAGCTCTTCCTTGAGATGTTCGATCTCTTTTTCATGCTCTTCGCGCTTCTTCTTCCGCGCCAGATCCTGTGGAGCCGGCCCATGCCATGTCCCAACACCCCAGGACACTCCAGGGCCCCCTGAAAAAGATAAACCTGATTGGAAGCAGCAATCCATTCCTAATCGAGACAAACCCCGATGGTTCAACAGACTTCCCAAACCCAAAAACGCATTCATGTCATGATCGGGTCATGACTCATAAACATTTGCTGAGGGAGTGAGGGAGTTTGAATGCAGCACGAAAAGGGTGCACGACAATACATAGAGAGAGAGAGATATAGAAATATACTTATTTCGTCTATTCAAAGCGAAATACAACAAACCATAACAAACCAAAAACATCCAAAAACCAGGAGATTGGACCAGTGTGTGGTCTTTTTTCGGGGTGGCATAGTGTGGTTTCCACATCTTCAATCAATAAGCCGAACCCCCATAGAAAATCCAGCAAACGAAGGAATTCCAATGAATTCCGGCAATATGTCGCATAAGGGCTTCCACCACACAAGCGCAAAAAAAGCGCGGAAGAGCAGTCCTTCTGCATCTCGCGCGCGATGCCGATCCTGAGGGCGGATTGGCCAACATCCCAAACCTCTGACTGTAAGTGAAAAAGTGATGATTCTCCAGCCATCCAGCCTTGACCCAGAGTTGGCGAACTCATTGTGGTTTCGAGGTCTCCGGTCGTGTCACGATCGACGCTTCAACTGGTAAGGCCTGATCGGATGGGCATCGGATCGGATTTTCTGGGCCACCCAGCTGGATGGTGAGGCGATGGAAGTCTGCCTTCTCGACACCTTTCTTCTCATCTTTGCCCAAGCCCTTCATGATTTTCACCATGCGGGCATCCTCAGCGGGTGGACTGGGACGAGTCAACGACGGCGGCACCGGGAGCCGTGCTGTGACCGGTGGATCGTCGAACAAACCTGCGGGGTGACCTGAATGTGACCTGTCAAACACCTCCACAGGTGGAGTACCGATCAACAGGTGGAGTACCGATTCGGGAGTGCCCGGAGTTCGCCCCACGCTGGGATCTGGCGGTCCAAGAAGTTCTGGGACATCAAAGAGGGAAGAGTTTAGGACATCAGGATGCCCCACATCAAGGAGAGAAGAGCTCCGGCCATGCGGCGTGTGCAACCCGCTCAAGAAAGAAAACCCGACGGATCCCCAGACTTTCTTCTTTGACCGATCGGAGGCCAAGGAGCAGGTAAAGTGATGCCGAACTCCTGCAGGATGCAAAGCGTTGGAGAAAGCACGAGATTCGGCGCCAAAGAATCTTAATTCGTTTCTGGATCTAGCTAGAGAGAGAGAGAGATTGGATTGTGCTACAGCCACAGCATTGATGTACACTCAGTACGCTGGCTGGCTCGAGAAACCACCAACCCACGGAATGTTCCTGTGTCTAATCTTTTTGCCAGCGTGTCTGGATGGCACATCAGGAAGACACAAGCTGTGTGTGTGTGAGAGAGAGAGAAGAAAGGAGTGTCTCAATGTTCGCTTTGGAATGTTTTGAGTGTGTTAGTTTGGGCGGGGTCTTGCTGAGCTTCTAAGACCCAAATGAATCCAAATGACACTTCTCACGGACGCATCTCACCAAAGCAAGTATTCTCCGGTGCAAGCAGACCAATTTCGTTTCACTTGGAAATGGAGAACAGCTGATTTTCCAACTTGGTACCACGTGGAAATCATGCAAGTGCAAATGGCTTTCCAAAGACTGCAGGAGACTGCAGAACACTACAGCGCCACGCACACCACCGACTCGACGGCTGATTTTTCCATTCTCTTGTGTCAAGCAATGTGCATGGGACAAACCAGCTTGGCTTCACCTCCCCAATAATGGCTGGCCATCCATCTTCACGTCAAACTAACACCAAATCCCTCTCCTTCTTGGCATAACTTCTAATCTCGCTCTTGTCCAAATGATCATCCTCGGCCACTCCACGGCGCGCGCGCGCGCGTTGTCCGCAGTTGGACCCAGACCACTCGGACCGCGCGATGGCCGCAGGGGGGCAGCCACGGCGTCAGCGATGGCGCCATCTGGGGCTCCAAGCTTTGTTGAGGTCGTGCCTGGCCGAGCGATGAGGCTGCGGTCGCGCAGCTGAAGATGGACAATCACGGTGAACACGAAAGCCGAGGGTTCATGGAGACCATGAATGACTTAAGGAAATATAGGCCTTAAAATATGTCCATTCCTTAACATCTGAAGATCTTGGATGGCTCTGCTCACTCTGAGGTGGCGGCTTTTTGAATTTCAGCATTTGCACGTCCATCTTCTTTTTTGCCTCCGCCTTGCGGAAGAGCTTCTCCTCAGGTGATCTGTAAATGTTGATCATGGGGTGGAACTCCTCAGGCTTGGGTGTTCCCGGAAGGTGGGTTTTGCAGTCCAAGGCTGTACAGTACGGGGGTCGCGCTCATGAATTTCCACAGCCCCCCCCCGCGAGGTTGTTTCCTCAGCGACAAGCTGCGGAGTGTGGGGTGTCCCACCAGTTGGTCCCTCCTCATTTGCCTCCCAAACATTTGGGCGCCCATCCGCAGCTGGGCTCAGTGAGCTGCGGCGGTCCTTGCTGGATTTGATGCCATGGATCAGCATCTCCTGCCGGTCCAAGGGGGTCGCGACTGGCTATAGCCATAGCTGTGTCCCAACACAATTCTTGTAGGACATGTGGTGCACAACACCACCTACAACTCTCACAGTCTCCCACTGGTCCCACTACATACAACTAATTACGTGCAGCTGGCAACGAACCGCCCAGAACACACCGGCAAATGTGAATCTTTTGGTCCCAGCACTCCAGTCACGACTGGGGACAGGTCTGTGCAGTCTAAAGGAGGGTGACAACCGTCATGGGTTCCGACCTTGAAAACACCTCTGTTACACTCTGAGGCCCATGGTTTTGCAGGGCGTTCAGCACATGAGAAAGGCCGAAGTAAAGTGGCCCATCCGATGACCCTAGGGCCGAATCAAGTCCCGCGATCATCCCTCAGGGGGCTGAGGTGATGCAGCATTGCATCTCACTTCTGTGTTGCCGCTGTGTTCTATCCGCTGGTCACGGTCTTTGGGTACGGCCTCTAGGGTGGATGGGGTCACGACGGAACCCATGAAAATGCCGCTGAAGGCATATCGTGGCATGGTAATTCGCGGCTGAGACTTATTCAGCCGACCGACTTTGGGCCATTCAGGACGGTCTCATGTCGAGGCTCGCGTCAAACGATCTTCGTCGTCATTCGCATTGCACCTGTGCGGTGAAGTGGGTGTGAGAAACATGAGTGTGCGTGGAAAAGTGTCTCTCCTTATCCACACTTTTATGTATGGCCAGGTGGGGTGCTCCCTTCCTAGGCTCATCAAAATGAGCGCGCCTACAAAACTAATCCGCAATCCTGCTAATCCGAAAAATGCTTGTAATCTGAACAATCCTTAATCCGCAGTAGTCCGTAATCCTTACCCAGCCTTACAATCCGTAATCCTTAAAAGCTTTAGGGAGGAAAGAACCCAAACTCCTGAATGAGGGGCTGTTGGCTTGGATTTATAAATCCAATGTAGGAATCCTCACAGCCCCGATTTGGAAGCAACCAACTCAAACCACT